TGTAGTATATTTTAGCTACGTTCGAAACAAAAGGTATGAAGAGGTCATAATAGAGTGTGTGATTGAAAACCTAATATGATGCTTTATTAGTCTGTCTTAGAGTTTTAGATTGATAGATTTGTATTATATTTATGTTAGTAGGGTTTTCTGACACCCAGAGCTGTATATCATAGAGTGTATGACATAGGCTCACATTGGTTAGGCAGTATTTTATGTATAAGGAGTTTTTTTTATGAATATGCTTAAAAATCGGTTGATGTAGTTGACAGCTACGATCGTTGAGGGTTAAATGTTTGAAGCGTATATAAGGAGTCCAGTATGTTAGCCGGTGATTTAGGGTTAGTCCAAGATCTTTGACATTTTGATAGTAACATAGAAGTTAATTATTAAGACATTGTTGTGGACAGTCTCGAGAACGTAATGTGTCGTAGCGATTTCGTTTAGTTTAATTTCAGGCTCCATTTTGACATTTTGTGTACCTACCATGACACAGTAGGTTAAGATGGAGCTGTATAAATGAGGAGGCTATGTCTTGGTTGGAGTGGCATACAAGAATAATGCTTTGTCATCCGSAAAGTCAACTACTTTTGTGTTTTGAGTAGTGGGTTGGTCTGCGGCGTGGATGTTAAAAAGTAGAGGTGCAATAAATGCATCTTGCAGGTCACCGACTTCTATTTTAAAAATATTTGAAAGAGTTATTCCTGAGCAAATGGAAAAGTGGCGATCATTAAAATATGATTTAATAAGGAAGTATAGATTAATTATTTACTTAAATGATATGTATATTTTATTTAGATTATTATTGCCTTGATCGCCAACTCTAACAGAAGACATTGGGCAGTACTAATCATCGAACTAATTGCTTTGATTTTTAAGAACCAACACGTTGAAGAGATGACAAAACAAATCATTAAAATGAATGAAACTATAAGCTTTGATAGTTCTGAAGACAATGAAAGCAATACTTCATCATTTTATCCAGTAATAAATATTATATTTCCATTTAAAGATTTATGTCAAGTTACTTACAGTATCTAAATTAAGATTTAACTTTCCATTGAATACTTTTTAAATCAATAAATATCATAAGTTATTATAATAACACATAGTTTTTAGAAAAATGGAAGAAATTCATCACCGGAAAAATTATCTGAATTATCAAACGAGGACTGTGATAACGATAGACATTTTAAAGTGGTCTTTATATTGTTTTTTATTAAACTCTTTATTAACCTTATTCTATGTATAGTAATAATAATATAAATAGTAACAATTTGACACAATTTTTTTATTCATCTTTGGTAATTGGTATYTTTTGTAAGTTGACGTTTTAARAAATTATTTACTGGATAATGCTTTTATTTTCAGAATAAAATGATAAGGGATATACGTGAAAATAGTTTGATACATAAACCAGACAAGAGTTCTAAAGAAGTTGTAGAACATCATTTAAACGTACATTCCGGAAAAGATAAGGTCGAAACTACTAACACTATATTTGAAGAACTTCCACTATCAGCCGGGCTCAGCTTAAAAAAGTAAAAATTGTATACATAATGAATAATACAAAATAGATCAACCGGTTTATATAATAGGAKCAATTATTAAACTTGAATATAAGATTACGAACGTCTTGATTTAGCACAGACTGAGTTATTAATTTTACGTRATATAAGGTATATTCATAAATTTGTCTATTATAGGAAAGAAAATGAAGAAAAAGACAATTCTAACAATTTGGACACAGAATCTAGCAGAAATTTTTCCATGGAAACTATAAAAAATTCGAACAGTGAATCTAGAAAAAATTCACTTGAAAAAATTAAACTGGAATTTGAGATGAAATTCTATAAACCTACTTTGGCGAGTGACATTTGTAGAAGAAAAGAAAAACCACGCAAAAAAAAATATACAAAAAAAAATGTTAAATCCAAGTGTGAAATACATGATTATAGTGTGCCTAATACTGTTTAAATTAATWTTTATTGGATTTTTTAGATTGAAATTACCAAGTTTTCCAATACAGTTCGATGTGCCAAATGAAACATGCATGATATCATACTTTCTTCAAAAATTTACTGTTCGTTTTCTACAAAATGGATTCAATACCTTAGTCGATGAACTTTATAACTTACTTACATCTAATTCACAGCAACAAATAGATACTTCACTTTATTTCTGGATATTAATATACTTTTGTAGATTCTATAARTTGAGCAACGTTGAATTGAAATTAGTCAGGTAAATATTATGTTTTATAAATTATTATTTACTATGATCCAATTTAATATTGAACCAGGTATATGTAAAAAAAAAATGAATTTATTATTTCTGATGCCTAGACGAATTGTGTCATTCAAACTTATTTCATTTATCGTTCACGAAGGTTTTAAAATATCAGAACAACTAACCATCGCAAAACTGCAAAAATCTCCTAATATTCATTTAAAAGTCAGACATTTGCATTTGGTATGGTATACATAATTATTATACTATTACCTGTATTATTATTATAATTATTATCATTATTCATCAATTAATTGTGTTCAAAATATGATTTTTTTTTTTTCAAACTACGTAAAGGCCATTATGGCTATTAAAGAGGTGATAAAAACCATTGAGTATTATCACCAAACTGCTGTTGATTCACCATTTTACGCAGATCTAATAAAAGATCTTCAGAGTAAGTACACCACATCAAATACAAAAATATGATACATTTTAATAGAAACAAATTTATTAGATATGAACTATTCATTTACGCGTTTAATTATGTTTGTAAAATATACCTGCATAATACATATTACCAGTGGCATGAGGAAGGACTATATTCGAGGCACGTGCCTCAGTTTGAGGGGTGTTGGGTGTCCTCAAAGATCATCTGATGTGTTAAAAAAAGCATTGTTATTTAAATGAATAAATATTATATTTCATCTTAAAARAATTTTTTAATGTTTTTTGTGATGGGTGGASWGGGTGGTTGGTCTGRMAATATAACTGTGCMTCATAACATAATGAAGTTCGCCACGCCACTGCATATTACCATAGAACAATATTACCAATGGCAATTTCCTTTAACACGACTTTTTTCGATTGTATATGCATAATATCTTCTATAGCTTTGCCACTTTGTGTTAACATTTAACATTTACAATTTTACGATAAATATTTGTTATATTGTAAGATTCGTGATTATGTTCTTCAGTTTTTAAATTAATATCTAAATCATTCTGGTCTGAATAGTCTGGTAGTGCACTACCTACAAGTTCTCGTAACATATTTTCAACGGGTAGAATCATCTTTTTTACTTGTTAATCCAAAGTTATATTTATAATTATTAAACAATACCATACGACGTTCTCGTTTAGTTTCTAAAAATTCCATTACCTACTTCACTTGAATTTATTAAAGTGTTCAAAATTTTATTAAGGTTAATATCTAAAGAATTGTCAATTATTATTATCTTATCTTTATAAAATAACTATCATACCACACTGAAATACATATCTCGATGGTATTATAGGTTATAGATTTTATATACCTACCTATAGTTTCCCAAATGTTCTTATGGCGATATTATCTTTATAAGATCTTAAATACGGCATTGTAGACATAAACTGGGCATAAATTTTAAGTGGTTTTCAAAGTGTGTATTATAAAAATGTAATCAAAAAGTGGTATAAAATTCTTTGTCGAAAAGAAAGAATAGCTTAAAATTATTTGGGCAAATAGTAACATGGGTGAAAAGCGAAAGGTCATTTTTTGGCCAACGGAGTCTTGCACGTACTGTGTAAGTTGGCTTACCTACCTAAACAGTACATACCTATCTCAGTTGTTATTTCTTTGTATCATAAGTACGTTATAACTTGTATGTACTAGGTAGCAGAGAATGATTGGCCCAGAGTGCTACAAACCAAGTTGAATCCCGGTCCAATCCACTGTCAAGCTAACAGTCCCTTTTTTAAATTCAATTCTTATTGTAGTTATATAAAACTCTTCCTAATTTTAGTTAGTTTAAAAAAAGATGGTAAGTTTTTTTTTAATATACGAACCACTAATTAATTTTTCACCCCGGACCAAAAATAGCTTACCCACCCCTGCTAAATAAGTAGGTATATAGGAGTAACATCAATGAAAATTATACTTAGAAATATGCATATGGTAATTGAATGTTTGTATGATATTTAGATTCAAGTAACAACTCTCCAGAATCAATCTCTTGGGTAAATGACCTMAAGTCATTATTCACATTACTAATTCGTTACTATGACCGTGACATACAGATTATTGAATACTTGCATGATTTAATAGTTACAAATCACATGGTATTGTCATTGTTCGATACTCTTAAAAATTGTTGGAATTTAAACGACGGTATTACTGCGTACGTCAAAAAGTAAATACAATGCCTACTTTTTACTTAATTTTTTAAGATAAATTATATTAATAGGTAATTACAAAAATTATTTAAAATTTAATTATACTACCTATAGGTTTGCTGTTCCTGACATAATGTACAAGTATGGAATTGTCCTACAAAATTACGAAAAAAATAGCGAAATGGTCAACGAATCTGTGTTTTCTATGATGCATCATGTAATCACTAAAGTTGAAAATACTACATCACTCTTTCAACCGATCATTTTGAAAACATTTTTGAAAATTTTCGAAAATAATGATTATCAGTACAAAGTAAGAATGAAATATGTTTATAATTGTACCTACTTAAGAATATCGTATAGGTAAATAAATAATTTAAATATGTWAACACTCGGGTAATATTATTCATTTTTGTTTATTTTAGAGGTGGTCTGGTTTGATTGAAAATGTTTTAAACAAGTTTTTAAGTATATCACAATCAAAGAATTGTCCTGAAAACGCTCTTCATGGAATTCCGTGTATCTACGAATAAACTTCTAAATTTGAATATTGAAAATAATAAAAAATCAATTTACTTGAAACTACAAACATTCTATAGATAGATAAATATAAATATATAAACATAATTATCTAAATATAGGTACCTACGAGTTTGTAATTTTTAAAATTATAATGTAAATGTCTGTTGAATACTTTAATTGAATAATAAAGAAGTATGTATAGACGTACTTATAAAGTATCGGGATTGGTAAATTTAGTCCAAAATTACCCTAACTCATTGAATTGAGTCCCGTGGGAAAAATAGGTAGTAGGTATGTTGAGTCCCGGGAAAAATAAGGTAGTAGGTAATTTGAGTCTAAGGGAAAAACGATTTATATGCATTTAA